TCCGAGTGTACTCCGATCCATATATTTGATCTTTGCTATTTATATTTAACGAATTAAACATTGACAGACAACTTTTGTATATAGCAAAAAGTAGATGAGCATTTAGTTTTTTCATAATTTAATGTAAGTTTGTTTGGTGAAAAAGACAGCAAATATTTGAAGTTATGTTAATGCAAGTTTGTTTATTTGCAATCATGTTTTTATTTTGAAGTCTTGTTCTGTTGTAATTTTAAGATTTTCCCAATTTTCGATCTAATTATGTTTCCAACAATTTTTAGTTTGAGCATTTTAGGAATTTCTTTGTTTCGTTTAAATCAAATATTCTCGTTATAAACCCTCTATATATTTATTTCCTAACAATACTATATTCGTATTATTGTCTGCGAGCGCTTTCACACCAGTAGGCCAACATCTGTGTTGATTTTTTGACCTGTGCCTTCGGAGACAATAAATTTAATGTGTGTTCGTAGTTCTCTGGTTTTTATCTGAACTATCCCTTGGCAAACCAAAATTTATTTTTTATTTATACTCAAAGTCAAATTAATACTATTATGTAATAACTAATAATAATTACAAAGCAATAGTAATTACCTGTTATTATTCTTAGGAAATCTAAATAAACTTATTCCTTTTCCTGTCACAGATGAACATCCGCGAAACGCACAACAATAACCAGAAGACATTTTAAATACTTATAAATTAAACTTTTAACTATAAACTATAACTATAAACTTATATATTTAACTTATATATTTTAACTATAACTATAAACTATAACTATAAACTTTTAACTACTAAATAATTAGATAAATGGTCAAATGCACTTGTATAGTCGAGAGTTTACCACAGATGCCTACGGACTATCGTAAGCAACCTTAAAGTTGAAGAAAACGCACGTGTTTTTGACAGTAAAGCACCTTATTTGGGTCATGCGTATACAGAAAAGGAACACGAATTTCGGGCCTCGTGTCGCTTCTCTGTGTTCGTAGTTCTCTGGTACAATGCGGCATCAGTTTCAGCTTACAAGCGAAGCAGTAATATCTCCAGAAGATCCAACCCCTAGTGTTGGCGAAACGTCAAGAACTAATCTCAGAAGACAACGGCCTAACAGCCCGAACAAATAGTCAGTTTAACAAGTTATAACTAATGGAATTGATAAAAGAAACTCTACAAGTAGAAAGTAAAATCCGGGAGCAAAATGAATTAACGGAAATAATAGATGTGAAAAGGGGATTACATCGGACATGTGCCCTATCATGCATCTTGTTCAACATTATATTCGAAAAAATAATAAGAGGCACAACAGTCTGCAAATACTCCAGGAACAATAATTAAAAAAAACGTAATGTGGCACTCCGGGAGTGACCGAGGTGAGGGAAGCATAGCTTTCTTATCATATATGCTAGCGCATATACAGTGTAGGTAAAAGTTTATGGTCGGTATGGTAAAATTTAACAGGATATCTAACGCAGATATAAAATCATATTTTCAGCGAATAGACAAAGATAACAATCATATTTCCCCTTGGTCTCCCCTCCATAAATATTTTTAACACTCATTGCTCATTCGTGAGACGAATAGTTCCGATCAGAGATATTTTACATATTCTCTGGTTCCGATCCTAATATACCTAAAAACTAGAGGTGGATCCTCTCGTTTTTTAAATTTTTATCGGAACCGTTTTTCGTAAACTGTAACTAGTTGATTGTTTACCAGTATTCAAATTAGCGAGTACACAAACATATTGGCTATTATCATTTATGTGTATAAGTATTGAAGTGAAAGAACCTAACGAAGGATATATTTCTTATAACTTGAAAAATAAATTAAACAATACAAATAGTACTTACATTTACATTACACATTATTAAATCGCGAATCGTCTAAATTGACATTTAAAAACAAGTTTTTCCACTTTTCTTGTTAACCGTGTTCTTCTTTTATTTAAAATTAAACCAGATTTTAAACATGTGTTCACAAGGAAAAGATTTTGTTACAATACTACAATATTTTATGAATATAGTGGTTAAGTTAGGATATACATGACGATGGTTTTTCCACCACGGTAATGGACAGTTCCAATCTCCGTTCGAAATTTTTTGTGGGTAATATATCATCAGACAAATACATGTCGACTTCTTTTATATCTCTCGATACAGGTGTATGTTTAGATGAGTCACGTCCAATTAATTCATCAAAAATACACCATGGACTTAAGTCATCTTTATCAGTTTCTTTTTCTTGTACTGGTTGATTTTCAAGATTTACTAAACTTATGCAAAGACTCGTTTCATCCGTTTTCCATAGGTGAAGAACCAGCTTTTAAAAAGTTTGCAGGGTGGATTCCTGGATATAAACTGCCAACAAGAAAAACTGTCAGGTTCATTACTTCAGGAATGTTATGTCAAAACTGATTTGATAATAGATAAAATAAAAAGTCCTATTTTCGACAATTCTGCAAAAAACACATTTAAAAAAAAGTACCTTATCTTCAGAAAGGCTTTTAAAGTATTAATTACAACATAACAAAGTTCCCAAACGGCCAATCCAAGACGTGGAAACTAGGTAGAACTTCACCTACTACATGTTAAAAAAAATGACCGAGTTAGAAGAGGCAATCCGTTCCACATCGGTATTAAATAATACAGACTTAGACTTAGACCAAATCTAAATAAATAACACTGGATTATTTGTTCTCAGCTTTCCCAAATTTTACGGCCGTTTAAAGAAATAACAAGTACAATGAGTGACCAAAAATACTTGAAGGGTAGTTCAGTGATTGTTATGGTACGCTGCCTGCAAGAATCTTGCAATAAAATTTTAGCAAACGGTAAATTTAGCAATAAGGTTTAGCAAACCTTACATCCATAGTATCCGACGTAGTACAATTACTAATATCGGGTTTAGCAAAAAGATTTAAAGGGATAGAACAGAGTGGCACATTGTTATTATGTACATTTATGGATTCACCATTTAAAGTGCAGGGTTTTTCTGATAAAAATGAAGATAAAAAAATTAAAGAAAAAGTTAAGAAGCTGGTTACTTCTATAATTAACGAACAAGAAGATTGTACTATTGAAAATCAACCAGTACAAGAAAAAGAAACCAATAAAGATGACTTAAATCCATGGTGTATTTTTGATCAATTAATTGGAGATGGCTCATCTACACGTACACCTGAATCGAGAGTCCATTACAACGGTGGAAAAACCATCGCCATGTATATCCTAACTTAACCACTATTAGTATTGTAAATGTGAACACATGTTCAAAATCTGGTTTAATTTGAAATAAAAAAAGAAGACGGTTAATAAGAAGTAAAGTTGAAAAACTTATGTTTTTGAATGTCAATTTAGACTATTCGCGATTTAATAATAACGTGTAATGTAAATGTAAGTACGAGTTACTATTTGTATTGTTTAGTTTATTTTTCAAGTTATAATAAATAAATCATTAGTTTCTTTCACTTCAATAAATATACACATAAACGATAATAGCCATTATGTTTGTTTATGTAGGTACTCTCTTACTTAAAACTACTTTTAAACAATCATAGTTACTTGTTTACAAAAATTTAAATTTTTAAATGCATTCATTTTTTTTGGAATCCTGAGAAAACTAACAAATATTTTTGAAAAATTTAAATGCAGAATAAAAGATTACATTATTACCGAGGGCCGAAAGTCCCTTAGAATAAACAAAAAGGTTTTTGAATGAGATATTTGAAATTAAAAATCACACTAATTTTTTTTTCACCCCTATAACTTATTAAAATAAACATTATAGAAGTTTTCAGGGACTTTCGGCCCTCGGTAATAATGTATTGTTTCATTCTGCGTTTAAATTTTTCAAAAATATTTATTAGTTTTCTCAGGATTCGCAAAAAATTAATGCATTTAAAAAATATTGGAACGAAATTTTGTGCCTACGCTCTTAACGATAAAACTACCACGACCCACCTCTACTACTCGTTACTCGGTCGGCCAAACCAGACGACCAGACCGACGTTGCCAAATAATTATTGTGTATGAATATTTTTTAATGTGGCGTTATTGTATGCAGTTTATTATTTCATATTGAGAATAAGGCACAATGTGACTTTAAAATAAGCTTATTTTGATGTTTAGATTTTTAATTCGGAAATCATACTTAAAATACGAAACATTAATAAATTTTATTTATATAAAACGATTTCCGAAGTGGAAATCAAAATGTTATATTACACTTATTGTAAAGTAAACTTGTGGCATATTCCCAATAAAAAAACAGTAAGCTGCCATTTAAATCAATTTCGCCCAAATTGGATTATCTTAGAACATTGTTCAAATGCAAAAAAAACAACAGGTCAAATAAATCCAATAAGTTTGGCAACGTTGAACTTCCCCTTTTTTTATTTCCAGGCATGCATGTTTGGCGATATAAAGGGCGGACCTAATATACCTCTCTCTTTCTAAACAGCTGTTTCTCACTCCATCTCACGTAAGGTCCATACCGACCATAAACTTTTTCCTACACTGTATGTTGTTAACAAACACGCATGGGACTGCGTTTATTACTCCATGTAGTGTATGGTCGCGCGATCGTTAGATTTTATCGTAACCGGTGGTTTTATTATTTTCATACCTATGTGCGATCCACTGCTCTGGCCGTAGCCCGCGATAAGAAAGCTATGCTTCCAGTAAAAGTGTACTAATACTAGCGTCGGCAGATGATGTTGATATAATCGCAAGGTCAAGAAGAGAAATGATTAGAGACATTCAGTCAAATAGAACGAGCTGTACAAAATAGTAAAGTGGGTAAAAAATTTTACATACTTAGGATCCCTAGTTACGTCTGATAACAACTTTACAAAGCAAGTCAAGAGGCGAATATTCATTGCCAATAAATGTTACCATTAAGACACAGAGCTGTAGCAAATTCAGAGTGTTAATGCTATATACTTCAGTTTTTAAGCATGTTCTGCAGTAATGTTTGCAATTAGTTAAAATCTTTGTTTTCAGATTGCAGATTTTGGTTTGTCTAACGTTTTTGACGATCAAAGACTTTTGAATACTTTCTGTGGTTCACCTTTATATGCTTCTCCTGAAATAGTCAAGGGAACTCCCTACCATGGTCCCGAAGTCGATTGTTGGTCACTTGGAGTACTACTCTATACTTTGGTGTATGGAGCTATGCCCTTCGATGGTAGTAACTTCAAAAGACTGGTTAAACAGATATCGCAAGGAGATTATTTTGAACCCACCAAACCTAGCCGTAAGTATATATAGACTTTGTAATAAAAATTTTTGCTTTGAAAAGATGGCATTGTTATAATTATTATAAGAATACATTTTGAGATTTCCCTTTAAAATAATGATGATGGTAAAGTTATGTCTGATTTAGGAGTTTCAAAACGTACATCTCTCCAAAATTCACCATAACAGTTTCAGATACACCAAACATGTGTTGAATTCTCGTCATAAGAACATTGATACCGTTTTCTTCTTCGTCTTTCTTTTCGGAACCTTAAAATTCAACATTTTTTATAGGAACCGTTATTATTCTATAATTATTTTGATTTGTGTTAAGGTGTGATTAGATTTAAACTCATTTTAAATTCGTTAAAGAACTTATATTAATTACAGACAATTTACAATACCCAATATTCATTGTCCTAAAGCGTGGGATTAAACGTAAACGTAGAAAAAATTGAATTTTAAAAGATTATCAATGAAAGATTTCCAATTTTATGAATGGATGAAACAGATAGTAGTAACTAAAATTTATCAACAACTAACACGTCGCAGATAAACCATATATGCCTGCTTCTAAAGCTGTTCGAAATACGGCTTTCCTTCCGCCACTAAATATTGATATTCCTGCTCTAGATCCAGCTGATATTTCGGATAACAAGAAAAATAATATAAGATAACAGACATCACCTCGCAGATAGATCACATATGCCTGCTTTCATCCATTCTATATAGAAAAATTCTTTATTTGAATATGAAAAGCTGTTCGAAATACGGTTTTTCCTCTAAATATTGACATTCCTGCTCTAGGACCAACTGATATTTCGGATAAAAGCAAAAATAGTATTAACAAATAATTAGCCTTTAATAATCACTACAATGTTATTAATCAATGAACATAGTCGCTTAAACACGTCACTGTCAAGTTGATTCTCAATTTCAAATATTGTGTCTTTTTCTATAAAAAGAAATAAAGAAGCAATTAGCATCAGTTTTTTTATTAAAAAGAAAGAAGATGCTTGTGAAGCAAGTATTACTAGAATTGGAAATACAAGAAGCAAAACTACATGGTTGTGCAAAAAATCAAACAAAAGTTCAAGAAGTAAAACAAGCATATCTTAAATATCGTATAACAAAAAAGAGTCGTATGAAGAATATAAGAGAATAAGAAGTGAAACGATAATACTGGTGAGAAAGGTAAAATAATCAAAAAGTTGATTCAAAAGTGAAACTTTCCCAAAAAGAATAGACAATGATTTTTAGTCCTTATGAATAAATATGAAAATGAATTATTCGGAACAAGTAAAATATCCTAGGTGGACTGGATCGAATACCAAACTGACTTATAGAGTGCAGATGACAGAAGATATATCTGAAATCATAGCTAATGACGGCTGGCAACGGGATCCGCCAGGGAGATGCACTGGACATCATTCTATTAAATGTTATCATGGACGAAATAAAAAGAACATTGCATAGGATATTGAGTGGAAGAAAATGAAATTATTATTTTATGCTATGCAGAGGATGCAGTGTTAGTAGTAGACAACAAATGATCTGCAGCGATATCTACAAAATAGTATGACAGCATCAAAAATATCTTAATGTATTATAATGAGATGTAAGCTTAAAGTTGATGGAATAATTATCAAGAAAGACATGATATGGAAAAACAAAGACATTAGCAAATCAATAATCTAAAAGACAGCTCAGATATCATGGTATCATGACATGTGATACTGAAACGAGACCAGAAATATTAAAACCAGAAGACTACTGGAAACAACATAAAAGAAAATACTTCGTAGAATAGCCGGAAAGACATTCCTGGATAATGAAAGAATCGAAGACATAATACCATCGAGCAAAAAGACAAAAGAGGGAATGTAAAGGTAGTGGGGGCAAAAATATTGTTAGACAGGAAGTGCCAATGTGGCACTCCCTGTCTAAATTAAACAAGGAAAGAGAGTCTTTCCTTGTTTAAGAAATCAAATTTAGTTGGGTTATGTTATTGTTTGTCCCAACTGTCACATGAAATCTTATTTATATTGAAGTTTTTTAACAATTGTTTCACATTATAGACTGTTATCGTTAATATTTAATTAAAACTTTCTCGTCTAAGACACATTCTGAAAACTATTTTATAGCTACTGTTAATAAGTGAAAATTTAAATTTGGCGCATTCGCATTTCCGGATATGTCTGCCATCAGAGGCCACTTTTTTGGTCTCCTTTTCATAACGATTAGATTTCCTCTTTTGTCTTTTTGCTCGATGCATAATACACACATGCAAGATCGAAGATATTAATACTCGAAAAAAAAAAAAAAGATTTGAATGAAGATACTAACAGGATAGTAAGAATATCGGCTAAATAGGTCTGCTTTTTTATGTAAGCTACTAAGATATACAAATAAAATTACTGCTATGTTCGTTTGAGTACCGCTAGAATTGCATAGGAACTATTGAAGTACGAAGTAGACATAGCAGACTCAAGAAATCAGATTTAAAGGCATGGTTGCATAATAAAAAAGATACAGTATGTACTACTGTGGAGCAGAAAGACAAGGAGACTTTGGGGTGGGTTTTATGGTAAACCATAAATGCCGCAGGTCAGTATTGGGTTTCACTCCAGTTAATGAAAGAATATGCAAAATACGTCTAAGGGGAAAATTTCATAATATTACAATTATTAAGATCCATGCCCCAACAGAAGCAGCAGAAACATCAATTCTATGACCAACTACAAGTAGAATGTGATAACGCACAGAAGAGGGATGCAGTTATAGTCCTTGGTGATATGAACGCGAAGCTGGGAAAAGAGCCAATATATGCAGAATCCTTTGGTAAGCATAGTTTACATGATATTACCAGCAACAACGGTATAAGAGTGGCATAGTTGGCAATGGCAAACTAACTAGGAATTGTTAGTACGTGTTTCCCTCATAAAAATATTCATAAAGGAACCTGGATGATACCTGGTACTAATAAATTTAATCAAATTGATCACATATTAATATCTAAGCGGTGGGCAACCTCCGCAACGGATGTTAGAACTTACAGAGGCGCAAATTTCTTGGTTATATCGAAGATAACACAAAGAATATTAATGGTAAGAAAAGAGAAAGGTGTTAAACAAAGAAAATGGACCACATATATGTTTAAAAATCCTAAAAAGACGAATGAGTACCAGCAGAAAATAAAAGTAATATTAAATGAAAGAGGAGAACAAAACAACATTGAAGAAGAATGTAATGTCATCCAAACGACAATTACAAATATGGCAAAGGAAACATTAGGTGAAACCTCAAGCAAAAGAAACGAGGAATGGTTTGACCAAGATTGCCAACAAGTAATAAATGGCAAAAATATAGCTAGACAGAAATGTATACAAAGGGATTCCTGATTGAATAGAAGAGCATATGAAGAACTCAGAAAAGATGCAAAAAAATATGTAGAAGGAAAAAGAGGAAATGTTGAATAGAAAAATACAACAAATTACAGATTATAATAACAGAAGAGAGACTAGAAAATTTTACAAGGAAACCAAGCAATACACCCATGGATACATGACAAGATCAACAGTTTACAAGAACAAAAATGGGGCAATTATCAGCGAGAAAGAGGAAATAGTGAAAAGGTGGAAGGAGCATTTTCAAGAGCTGTTTAACCCAGAAAAAGATCAAAACGAAGATGAAGAAATAATTCACCACACAGCAGAACAACTAGTTGAGCAACCAACATGGAAGAAACGATAAACGTCATAAAACATCTAAAAAATAACAAAACACCTGGCACAGATGGAATTACTGCAGAACTGATAAATAATGATCGACATGCGCTATGGAGGCGTATCCATAACCTAATCGACCGCATATGGACACTAGAAGTCATCCCAGAAGATTGGAAAGTCGGAATTATACTTCCTATGTACAAAGGGGGAGACAAACGACTCTGCAAAAATTATAGAGGCATAACAGTTTTAAATGTCGTCTACAAGATATTATCAGGAATTATATACAGCCGCCTGGAATCGTTTTCGGAGGAGTTAATTGGTGAATATCAATGTGAATGACCAAATACATATGTTAAGATGTTAAAGCAAGCAACTATCTATGTTAGGTATACCCAATAAGTTGGTTAAACTTATACGAATGACTCTGGAGGGTTCCAAAGCTATGGTGAGAATAGATGGAGATATGACGCAGGCCTTTGATATTGAAAATGGAGTTAAACAAGGTGATGCCTTATCAACAACACTTTTTAATCTAACTTTAGAAGCTGTTGTTAGAAAACTGGATATATACGGCTGTATTAATACAAAATCAACGTAAATATACGCATATGCGGATGATGTTGCCATAATAAGCCGCAACAAAAGGGTATTAAGTGAAAAAGTTATAGAACTGAAACGAGAAGCTGCTACGTTTGGTCTATATACAAATGAAAGCAAAACAAAATATATGGAGTGCACAAAATCGAATCAACAAGAGAATTTGAAGGTAGACAACCATACCTACAAATATGCCTCCACTTTTCCCTACCTAGGCTCAATAATAAATGACAACAACAACATCAGTCAAGAAATACAAGCACGGATTCTTAGCGGTAATTAGTGCTTTTATGCATACAAAGACTTAATGAAAAGTAAGTTACTGAATCGTGAGTCTAAGCTTAGAATCTACAAAACAGTAATTAGACCAGTGGTCACATATGGATGTGAAACGTGGACCCTCTCAACCACTGATGAAAATCAACTGAATATTTGAGCGCAAAATACTAAGGAAGATATTTGGACCAACCCAATGCAGCGATGGTTCGTGGAGAATTAAAATGAACCACGAGCTGGATGAACTAATGCAGAGCGCAGATATTGTTAGATTTGTAAAGTCACAAAGACTAAACTGGCTTGGTCACCTAGAAAGAATGCCAGATAATCGAGCTGTAAAAGTAGTCCAGAGATGGAAGCCCCAAGGAAACACAACAAGATGAAGGCCCCGAAAAAATGGATAGATGACGTAGAGAGGGACCTTAAAACCATAAACATCAGGCAGTGGCGAAGGAAAGTATCAGACAGGGCAGAATGGAAGTTTTTTCCAAATGATTATCATTTTTAAATTATTTAAAAAAGTTTTTTTCCGTAATCTTTACCAGAATTAGCAGGTCGCCGTTGACGTACTCTCCGTTCCATCCCACCATGTCTCACTAAGATTTAGGATATCAACTTTATACTCGTTCTTTACTTTACAAATTTGGGTAAGGCGTGATACTGGCATACTTTTCATATTCCGATACCCGATTCTTGTCCGTTTACGTAAGCAAAGGTCATTATCAAAGGATCCGTCCGGTTAATCTCTGTGGAAGTTTCGAAAATCTAGTAATTTAATAGGTGATTGACCTCTTGTGTCCGATTCTGATACCGGTGCTGCCAGTTGTAGCCCTCAGACTGGCCTCAGGAATTTCTGGATTCGAAACATGATATTTCCTTCATGTTTATGGTAATAAAGTTATATCGCCTATACTCGGTCGAAAGAGCCTCGTTTAATAACTAGCAAGGTGCACCGTGTGACCAATTTTCACCGCTCTAGCAGGAGGTTGACATTTGAGTAAAGGTTTTATCGATGTTGATTCGAACGCTTACACCACTCACCTCTTCTTTACCATGTATTATTGCTTTGCAATCTGAATAAATTGAAAATTTTTATCCAGCTTTAATATATTTTGTTTTTAGCTGCATCTCCATTGATACGTGAGATGTTAACGGTAAACCCAAAACACCGTGCCGATGTGGAAAAAATCTGTAGTCACTGGTGGGTAAATGAAGGTTATAATGAAAATTGTCTGGACATCTCCGAAGAATTAGCTAACCAAACTCCAGTCCGCTTGGATGTTTTGTTAGCATTAGCTCCCCCTCCACCTCAACTGGAAAGCGATAAACTCATGTTAACAGGAGACGAAAACACCCCACCGAAGGCAGCAGAACCTGTTGCACCAACGAGATCTCAGTCTGTTGGTAGTTTGATGGAACTTACGCATCCAGCAGAAAGAAGGATAATAGACATGCTAATGGAAGATAAGATTACACCTAAGAGGAAATTAGAAACAACCGTCAGTACTGATAGGGCAAATTTGGACAAGCGGAAAGAAAAGATTATTAAAGAAAATACAGTTGCAGATATTACGGTACACGGAGCACACAAAGAAATCGAAGAGTCAGAAGAAAACAAACCATTACCTTTAGACAAAAGTTCAACTCAAACGCTATCAAAAGAAATGGAAGTGGAACAAGAAGTAATTGACCCTAATCTGCAAGGAGCAGCATGCGCACAAATTTTAGAGGAAGCAGAGAAAAAGAAAACTCAGAAGCTTAAAAAATCATTAACAAAAACTATTAGCAATAATATTTTGGAGAATATCCACGAAATGCCTAGTCAAGAAAACGTAGCTGATACGTTAAATAAGGAAAACGTGGTAGAAAGTCCAAAAGAGGAAGTTAAAGAACAAGAACCGCCAAAGGCGGAGGTCAAAAAGACTGAAACTAAAGCTCCTGCAAAGAAGAAAACTGTGAAAAAAGTTTTGACGGATAAAAATGAAAACGCTAATGTTGAAGCTCCAGTTGTTGAACCGGAAAAACCGAAAAAAGAAGAAACTCCTCCAAAAGGTAAGTTATTAATTATTATCATTTAGATTTTTCTCATCATAAAACATTCAGATTTGAATTTGATTTAAACTTTTTTATCTGATCAGTAGGCTTCGGGAAATCGGAAAAGTATGACCTTAATGCTCTTTAAATCACTATGAAAAATGCGCTAGAAAATAAAAACGGTAATATGAAATAAAAATTAGTCATAATAAGTAGTGTATTATATAAAAAAGATAAAATTAGTTGCAATTAATTAGTTACAGTTGTAACTCATTATATTTTTATACGCATAAAACCTACAGAGATCACATGAAATACTGGCACTCTTATAAATAAAGTTTATTAAGATATTGTCGATGTTTCTTCGCATATTATATTGAGGCATCAATTCACGTACCCTATCTTATTATTACAACTGAAGAAGGAATTATTGTTATCTTGAACGGCGTTCCTCCAACTTGGTGCATTTACAAAAATACGTTTTTGACTAGCGAATTTGAATTATGCATGTTCAAAAATTTTCCTTTCCAAGTTTTTAACATTAAACAAACAGCACAAGTTAAAAATATTTTGTTTTTTTTTAATTCATCATTAGATTCTGTATACGTTTCAGTCAGAAACTTAAGTTAAAATTAACGTGTCTCAGCAACAAAGGCTATTGACACGGTTACAAAAGTAAGGATTACAGTATATTAAAATAAAATTACAATGTTAGCAAAATGCTAAAAAACAATATCTATATGGCGCAGTATATCTGACAGTCTTTAAGAAACATTATAACATTGTTTAAGTGTGGTACCCATGTGTAAGACGGCAATGTCCAATTTTTAATCTTCTTATAACAAATTTGTCTCTTCTATAAAGTGCTGGTAGTTTTAAGGAGGGAATTCTCTGTTGGATATTATGAAGTTTTGAGCTCGTTCTATCCCAGAGCTTTTGCGGCTCTGACACACATTTGTTTGACTGTATGTTGCAAATCGACGTCAAGTTGAATACTTTCTATAGGTACATCAGAACGGGCTGCCTCTTTAGCTGCTTGATCTGCATTTTCATTTCCTGCAATATCCACGTGTGATGGAGTTCAAGTAATGCTAACCGATATGATCTTATCTTTTAATTGGTGGCATGCGTTGAAGATACTTTGGATTAATGAGTTTTGGTTGAAAATATTATTGATGGATAGGATGGACGATAATGAGTCAGTGCAGATTGCAATGTTTTTGCTTTTGTTGATTGGACAAGTAAGTGCTTTCATGGTAGCATATAGTTCGGCTGTGTAGATGCTACAGTGATATGGAAGACGGTAGGTAGCTATAACATCTTTGGTGGTAGTGACCGAAGAACCAACCTGATCTTAACTTTCGAAGCGTCTGTGTAGATGATTGGGTCATACTGTTTAGTTTGGATGAGTTCATGAAGGATGACTTAAGGACGGAATTAGGAGTTTCTTTTTTGTTATATGTTGAAAGACTGGTGTTTATAGTGGGCAACGTTAATATCCATGGTGGAGTATTAGAGGATAATATTGGAGTAGTACTTTGTAAATCTATATTACCTATTAGTTCTTTAAGAAATTGTGAAGCTGGTTTTACTGCTCTGGGTTTATTTACTGTTATTGGTTTGGTAGTATTGATTAACCCGTTGACTAGATTATTTGGATTAGCTGATGTTTTGACAAAGTAGTGTAGCGACAAGCTAATTACGAATAATTATATAACTTTTCTATTCAAAAATTAAATAAGAGATCTCATATTAAAATTTACATTTTCTCAATTGGTTATACACATGTGAAATAGAAATGACATAAAAATTGAAATGTGTTTCTCAATATGTTTATTTACTACAGATATGCTGGACACTTTAATTATACATTGCATTGCATAATTGGATACGTTGCATTTTTCATAAATGGGAAACGAAATATTATAGTGTAAGCAATGACATCACACGAGACCAGGCCGATAAGATTGGAGTTTATCGTCTGGCTTTTAAAAACAAAGACCATGTGTTTAGTTTAGTAATCATTACTAGTGCGACTCCGGTTTGGGGTTCACCCCCAGGGCACTATTCCGACACTGTTACTCACAAATTTTAAGGATTTAAAATGGTGGAGGTAGCATAAAAAAATTTCGGTGCCCAACCAAACCCCCCCAGAGGAAAATTCTAGGTGCGCCACTGAATCATTAAGACACACTTTGCATCGTTCCGCGATACATAGAAAAATACCTTCCCTTCGAGAATTAATTACGTTTTACGAAAATAAATATTATTAACAGTTTTTTCTACGTTTTATTCAATATTATTATTATTTTTATTTTGTTTCCATGGAAAATAAGTTTATCACACACGCATCCACACAACCACGGAACAGTACTTTAAAATAAGTCGCTGACGGCGAATATTGGTAGGTGGTTCGTTAGCTTCGACTTGCATACTTTCTGTGGGACTAGATCTAAAAGCACCAAGACATATTCGAAGAGCGGTGTTCTGAATGACCTTGAGGCAATTTAGTTGTGAGTTGGGAGCTGACATGTATAGTAGTATACTACCACAATCCAGTTTTGAACGAATTAAAGATCGGTAAATTCTCAGCAACATATCTTCAAATGATTGATTGTTTTGAATATTTTCATAGATAGCAAGTATAATTTTTCACGTTTCTCTTCATGATCTATGCCCAAAATCAAAGCCATATGCTTATTGTTGTTCCTCATCTTTTGTTTCATTCAACGAAACCTAAATACATCCAACTTTTTCCCAGAACGTTTTTCCAATTGAATGTTGGAAGCTAAAAGTGCTTTACACCAATCTTAATTGAAAACGGACCATTTGCTCTCATAATTACATAAAGCTTTTGGTAATAGTAACTGCTGCGCAGCTTTTTTCTGTGCGTCTTTTTGTATATCACAGAATTTACAAAATAAAATTTATCCAGTGCTACTAAAATTTTCTTAAAATTGACTAGCGTATATTTTTAAAGCCACTAAAACTGTCATGATAATAGTATTCAACTCGGATTTTAAAGAAATTTCTAAATTATGCCTATCTCATAAACTGTTATAGTAGTTAAAAGGCGTCTGCGAAATATATAATGGTATTAAAATAAGCTTCAAAACAAGAGTCAGCTAATAAAATAAGCAAAATAGCTTAAAAATTGTAAAAAATGTGTTAATAATAAAATATATCTATATGTATATTATAAATATGTAAACGAATGAATATTCGGATAAGAATGTATTGGTCAAAATATGTTTGTTGACTTATCTATATTTTTGATGCAGAAACGAAAGAACCTTCACCTGAACAACCATCCAAACCAATAGAACGACGAAGATCGAGAATATTTGAAGCCGCAGAGAAATTCCAGAATCTCATCTCTCCAACGGAAGCAAAACCTACAGTTACCGAAAAACCAAAGAAAATACTTATACCTGGTGTTAGCGTCGATGGTTTCAAAAAGGAATTTGAAAGAAAAGCGAGCTTGACTTCGAGTACTCCCATTAAAGTTAAAGGTAAGATTTTTTTGTTCTTTAAATATTCGGTTATATTTCATTGTACTGTTATTAAATTCTATGCTTTTACGAAATGTTCGGCGTTGTTTTATAGTAGAGGAATATCGGAAATTGAAATTGTAGATTGTAATTAATATTAAATAGAAGAATAATGAAATAAATAATAGTATCTATTGTTTATAAAAAAGATTTTCTGGATGGTTGCGCTAATGACACCAAGATCCGTTACCAGCAATTTTAATATTGACGGAAGAAAGTCATTACCGTTTTGCCTGTATCCCGTGAGGTGTTGCAAAGATAAACCTACTCGCAAGCTTTTTTGGTCCTCTGACAAAAGGCGAAGAACAGATTGTTCACAAATTTTGCTGTAACCCAATTTATGTGCGATACAATACTCACACCAACATTTTCTGAAATTGCTCTGATTGAAATTCGACGATTTTCTCTAATCAAGCCTTCCACGCTTCCCACATTCTTGTATGTTGATGAAGTACTCTATCCACCTGGTCGCAGATTATTATCATTCGTCTATTTTCTTCCTTTCTTAAAGTTTCGACACTTTTGCTTGTCAGTTGGATAAAGAAAACATGCGTCTCTTATATTGCGTGTTTTTATTGAATCGATAATATCTTACTAGATGGTTACAATAATGACACCAAGATTGGTTACCAGCAATTATTATTGACGGAAGAAAGCCATTACCGTTTTGCCTATATTTCGTGAGATGTTGTAAAGATAAACCTATTCGCAAGCTTTTTTGGTTCTCTGACAAAAGGCGAAGAACCCATTGTTCACAAACTTTGCTGTAACTCAGTTTGTGTGCGATACTACGACAGATCCTATACTCACAACAACATTTTCTGAAATTGCTCTGATTGAAATTCGACGATTTTCTCTAATCAAGCCTTCCACGCATGCCACATTCCTGTCTGTTAATGAAGTACTCTATGCACCTGGTCGCGGATTATCATTCGTCTCCTTTCTTCCACTCTTAAATTTTCGACATTATTGCTTGCCAATTAGATAAGGAAAACATGCGTTTCTTGTGCTTGCTTTCGCGTATGAATTTGCAATAGTTGCAAACACCAAAACCAAAGATGGGTTTCAATTGAACAAGCATATACAATAGGGTAGATCGATAATCGTAAAATTAAAAAAAAATTGACAAATTTATTTGGAATACACACCAAAAGTTACCTTTAGTAACGGTAATAAGAAAGTACTATTACCACTTTTGGATCTAATAAAATTACATCCTCTGCCCTCTACAGGCTTTTGAAAACCGAAAAAAATAAGATGTTGGCATTATTAACAGTAATTGTGACAACGGCAATACTACCCGACCTTGGAATTGTAACACGAAAAACGTAATAGACTGAAATAAACTGAGAAGAGCAAGATACCAACCAAGAAAAGGTTTTATGCAAAACTCCCCGAAACTTTAAACGCCATATATTATGACGGAATAAAAGATTTTTTTTTTTTTTTTTTTTTTTTTTTTTTTTTTTTTTTTTTTTTTTTTTTTTAATGGCTTTGGCTTGAAAACCTTTAGCCACGTAATTACATATAAATATTAGTATTCATTCATACAGGATTGTACAAGGAGGACACTTTTCACGCTCAGGGATTCATCAGAGCGGCTTTATTGTAACAAACAAGACATAAACCACGGTTAGGTAGGTGGGCAACATATATGGTAAACATACAAAGGAAATGTTCAAGCATACGATCAATTTTACACTCATACCTTTAATTTAATTTTTACAAGAAATATCATAATTATTTTAAAGATTTTTATATTGTCTTCACTTAATAAGAGATTTACGTTTAGTGGTGTACTTAATCCCTCTTTTATCAATTCTTCTATCAGCCACGTGCTTGTATTACGATGTAGTGGGCAGTTAAAGAATATGTGATTTAAATCAGCTATACTAGTTCCACACTCACATCGGTCTGTTGGGAGAACTCCTATTTTGTGTAGATGTTTCGGGAAACATCCATGATCTACTTTTAATCTTAAGACAGTTGCCACTGTGTTTCTGCTTAGTGTAACATCTTTGTAAAATTGTTTTACATCTACTGTGGGTTGTAATTTGTATAAATTAGTGCCCCTGCTTTCACCAAACTGAATCCATTGTCTGTCCCATTTAAATTTAATATGTTGTTTGATATAGGCAAGTAGGTCACATGTGTTAAATTCTTCTATCACCATATGTGGGTGCTGTAATGGATTTTTAGCTATAGAATCAGCAATAGTATTGCCAACAATATCTGAGTGTCCCTTGACCCATAGAAATTTAGTACCATATGGATCTGATAGTTTTAGTAACTGTTGAAAAATTTCTAATATGAATATGTTGCTATTGATTGTGAATTTAAAGTTTTGTAAGGAGTGCAATACTGACAGTGAATCACTGCATATGACAATTTTGTTCCATTGGTTTTCACAGCACAATTCAAGGGCTTTGTATATAGCACACGCTTCAGCAGAAAAAATGCTGGATTGATTATTTAAAATAAATGATTTTTTAATCTTCATTTTTGGTACAAAGTAAGCACTGGTTGTACATGTTAGTGATTTTGACCCGTCTGTATAGATCACAATATGATCTGAATATCCACTTAAGAGGCCTGTGTACCAGCCATAAAAATGAGTAAACGGGGCATAAAAATGAAGGAAAACGGCTTAACTGAAATAAATAAAATTTTGGGTTTTGCTTCAAAAAAAAAGGCTTTTTATCGCTATGTTTTTATATTTTTGAAAAACCAAAATTTTTTTTTGTTAATTTGAAAATGATACGTTTATTTAAAAAAATGCAACAGTGCGGCGTTTAATATGATTTTTCTTAATATATGAACTAATAATGTATTCAATAAAAATGAATGTAAGTCCTACATTCCATGCTTCAAAATTTTCAAAAAAGTAATGACCAAATCAGAAGACGCTCGAACTTTCCAGCGGATCTGACAACGTCGATGTGAGGGAGCCGCCATTAGCGGCACTGTCTGGCTAATGTTTTTGATGTTAGAAAAGAATATATTCCAGTTTGATTATAATTATCGTCTGGCGCGTGCCACCAAATTACGTTCGTCGATTACAGAGTTGGCTGTCGGGATTTTTAGTTTTTTCGTATATTGTGTTAGTTGTTGTGTTCTTTTTAATTATATTAATTAATAATTTTCTGTTGTTCATTGTGTGAGACTAAGTGTAAAAAGTAGTGTGAAAAACAGTTTTAATTATACCATGGGTCGCGTACATCGAGCAATAAGACAAACGAGGGAATCTAATCGTTATGAAAAGGAGACCAAAAAAGTAGGAGCGATTAATTACAGGGACCCGATCCGTCAACTGCGCATGTGCAATCTTTGAAATGACATCAAAAGTGACAATCTCCAAACTAAAAAAATCTGAGCAAATTTATAAAAACTATTTAGGCATACAAATCGGAAATTTTAAAATATTTATTAGAGGAAAGTGCCCAAATGTGGACCATCCTCCTAAAGCGGACCCCTACCTTTCTTGGTACGTTTTAATTTAAATCGTGGCAGCAATGGGTGCAAATGGTATATTAGAGTTCCATGACTGAGTGGTGAAGTGCACAAGCCGGCTACGTCACTTATTGCTTGCCAGTCGCCTTGCACGTGTGTTGGTTGTGTGGAAAGTTTTTACGTTGTGTTATATTTTTTATTATTTCTTCGAGATATTAGCAGGTAAGCTATTCAATCTATATATTATTTTAAATAATAGGGTTTGGGCTCATTGTTTCTCACTAATATAGTTCATATAATGGTGTGGTTAAAAAATTATGACATTATTAAAATGTATGCTATAGTCGCTTAAACCGGACCCCCCGTAGTTGCCTAAATCGAACCCCTTATTTTTTAAATTTAAAACTTCGCTGTTATGCAACTTCGCACTTCTATGATTTTCAATTTTGTTACAGATTAAAAATCAATTAAATGGGGAAGATCGAACAGAGAAAGTGGAGTCCGTCTAAAATGACTAAGGCCATTGATGCAGTTCGAAATAAGAAGATGGGGTGGAAGAAGGCGAGTAAATATTTTAATGTGCCGAAGACAACGCTGATGAGATTAAGCAAAGATAAGTATGGTACGCCTATCGAAGCAGCACTAACAAAAAGAGGCAGACCTACAATATTAGGCAAAAATCTTGAAGACGAGCTAGTCTGGCCGCGCAAATGGCCCAGAGAAATGGCATTAATCATCCATTCAAAGAAGAAATAGCTGGTAAAAAGTGGGCCAATCTATTTCTTAAACGGCACAAAACAAAACTGTCAGAAAGAAAGCCCACTGGAACATCTTACAGCAGGGCTCTTGGGTTCAATAAAGAAAATGCGCAGAAATTTTATCAACTCCTTGAGGATTTGTACGTTAAAAATGAATTTACTCCTGATAGAATCTATAACGTAGACGAGAGCGGAATTAGTGTGGTGCAGTCTAAAATACCCAAGGTTATAGGCCTTAAAGGTAAAAGGCAGATTGCTGCCCTGACATCAGGAGAACGTGGAGCCCTTATAACGATTGTTGCTTGTATGAATGCCACTGGCTTATTCGTACTTCCTTTAGTGATTTTTCCGAGAAAAAATATGAGTGAACAATTGAAAAAAGGAGCCCCATCAGGAACAATTTTTGCAGTGCATCCTTCAGGTTGGATTCAAATCAAACTCCTTCACTCAATGGTTTAAGCACTTTATTGACTTTGTCCATCCTACAAAGGAGAAACCTGTGCTTTTACTCTTAGATGGCCATTATAGCCACACTCAAAATATTGAAGTGATCGATTTGGCAAGAACACACCATGTTACCATTGTGTCCATACCACCTCATTCCTCACACAAACTTCAAACTTTGGACAAAAGTTTCATGAGTTGTCTCAAAACTTACTACAGTGAGGAAATAAGGCAGTGGTTAAGAAACAATGAAAGGCCACTTACAGCTTATGATGTAATGGAGCTCTTTGGCAAAGCATACATTAAATG